AATTTTCAAAAGTATCAATAACCTGATGGCTGGATAATCACAGTAAACGTCGAAAAAATCACGGTGTACAAATCTAACGAGATTTGATGTTTTCAAGAGAATTAATATTAGCAACGAATATTAGTCTTAAGTAATATTAATTATTATTATCAATATACCACTTAAAAATGTTGTATATTTTTACACCAAAACAAATTATTTTTATTTTTAAAGTTAACTTGTTCTCATTATATACAAATTATGGTTCCCAATTATAAAAAATGACACAATCAAATTTAACTATTACTTAATATGCATACATTTTAATATGTTTATATATTTTATAACAAATCAATACGGTTTTGACAGTCCTTAATTTATTTATAAAAGTTTTTATTATTCACGGTTTTATTATTTTTTGCAATTGCACAGTCAGTTTTTCAATCAGTTTTGCGATTTCCATCAGTTTTTGCTGTATGGTAATAAATTTGAATATTTATTAATCCGTAGTTTGAATTTTCATTTTAAGATAATCCGTACAAAAATTTATTGTTAATAGAAATATCGAAATAAAAATGAATAAATTGATAAATATGTATACGTATATTTATATTATTTGTGCATATCACGTAGGAAACTAAAAATGTTAATAATTGCAGTTTTATTGAGTCATACGTTTCGGTCTACATCAGGTACATCATTTAATGTAATAATAATAGATTCTCAGTAATAATACATTTTCAGTAATAAACACATATGCACACAAATGTACACAACTATCATATCAGTGGTTAGATGCAAGTAATTACTAATATAAGCATTAAACATATGTCTATATATACATATATATATATATATATATATATATATATATATATATTAAATTTTTTTATAATTTTGATGTTGAAATATGTGATATTCAGTTTTCAGGGCAATACATCAATTAAAAAATTTGTATGACTTTAAAACATTTTTATTTTTTCCATACGTTTCGACACATTGTTTTGTGTCATCTTCAGTGGACTATGTAATTGAATTAATCCTAATTATTTCATATTATAAATGTTTACAACGCACAATCCTAATTATTTCATATTATAAATAAATTGGTGCATTGTGAACATTTATAATATGAAATAATTAGGATTGTGCATTGTAAACATTTATAATATGAAATAATTAGGATTAATTCAATTACATAGTCCACTGAAGATGACACAAAACAATGTGTCGAAAAAATAAAAATGTTTTAAAGTCATACAAATTTTTTAATTGATGTATTGCCCTGAAAACTGAATATATCATATATATATATATATATATATATATTCTAGCTGACCCGGTAAACATTGTTTTGCTAAGTAAGGTATTTTTAAACAATTTTTCGAGAATCAAAAAAATGTCAAATAATCCTTCCAAGACATGATCTCTTTCATCGATTCCAAATTTATGATCTTAAATAAAGTAATTTGTATAAAATAATAATATGATCTGCAAATGTTCTTTAAACATAAGTACAGAGGTTAAAGAAAAAGTTTTCCAAAAAAGAGTGCCATAAAGTTCGAAAGTTTATTTTCATATCAACATTTCAAACTAGTTGATATCTTGAGTTTCTTATAACACTTGCGACTCGTTTGATAATGTTTTTGTTTATGAATAAAACTACAAATTAATCAACTTAATACATTTAAGTAATATTAATCTAAAACATCCTTAAATTCAATTAAACATAATTTGTCAAAACCATTTGACGTTTGACGTATGAGACGCCTGCTATTGTATTATTTTAAATTACGCTTCTCTAAAAAATTTGAATAAATATGTTAAGTTTTTATGCGGTTTTGAAATAATATCTCACCTTTCCCACAACCTCTGGATTAGCACGAAATTTTTAAAACTTGAACTGGCCAAATCCGTTCAGCTATTTTAGAGTTTTAGCATACCTAACATAATACTGGGTATTTATCGATATATATATATACATCTGTCGACATATACATATATACTCATCTTCAGTACTTTTTCTATTATAAATCATCAGAATATAGGGAAGAGCAGGCGCAATGCCTAATACATCATATCTAACGATCCACGTTCTACCTATCCACCTATGTCGGATGGTTTTATTTATTTCATTTACTTTTCGAACAAAAAATGAACATGAAATTCATGCAAGTATGCGGCGGCCTGGCATTTGAAGTGGCATCCGTAAAATGGTGCTAATTTACTGGTAATCGAAAAATTATTAGAATCGTTTGAGGTAGACATCGAAAACCAAGGGTAGATCTGGATAATTGACCAATTCTCATAGTCGATCCTATATGGAGTTTATCTTGGAATAGTTTAAGAATAGTTACAATGTAACAAAATTTACTGTTTTTTTTGCGAACAGAATATTTATATCAAGAGTCATCAAAGCCATAATAATAATTTTAATTTCCAAGATTGTTTTATGTGATTATTAAAAAAAATGAAAAGAATGTGGCCCAGTGTTTCACTTTGAGATTCCCTTAATCTCTGCAAAATTTTATTAGACGGTATGTGTAATATTTTTAATAAAAAAATGTAAAAATGAGTGAAGGCATCAAGAATGAGACAGGGCTTGGACTGTAAATAATTATTATTATAAACAAAGTTAATCTAGTTTTAATTTTTCATTAATTAAAAACATAATGACATACATACCGTATACCATATTCATGCTAAATCGTCATATTCTATTTTATATTACTTTTAAAATATTGAGCCTTTTTAATTAAAATATATAATACCCTGTTTGAATAGAGCGTTTATCGGTAGATCAATTTCTGAATCGATATTTCAGGGATTAAACGGTTGTATATTTTGAACACTTTCATAGATCTACTAAACTTTTCTCATAAATGTTTGCTAATTATTTTCTGTTTATTATTATCTACGAAAATTTAATACTCGGCTAGTATCAGTTTATCATCTGTAATAATATGTAGGCGTAAAATTACTTTTAATCAGTAGGATTCCTTGTAAATATCACGATTTGTAATGAAGAAATTGAAAAGTTGTTATTTTTATTTTGCAATCAAAAGATTTATTTGATATTTATTTTATTTTATTTTATTTTATTCACATACTATAACTGGTGCCAATCAACTGGTCGGATATTTCTGTTTTCAAAGGCTACTAACTGTAAATCGGTTTACATATAAAATTAAAAAAGATTTCTGATAGTTTTTATTCAGATGTGGATCGATTTAGTTCTTTTTTGTTTATGTTAGTATTCAGTATATTTAGTATTTTGATAATTAATAATATGTGAATTTAATGCCTTTTTTTACATTTCTTAAAGCAACTTAAAATTTTCGTTCCGAACATTTTAAATTGTATGAATTAGTAAAATCAGGAAAAAAGTACTAAACTCATAAATATAAATATAAATATGTTCACTAAAATTTTATATATTTTTTTTATAAATTTCATAATATCATTATATTTTCTTGGTAATATATTTAGCAATATGTAAATTTTTTATATTTTTTGAATACCTTGGTAATTTCAACCCGGCTTCTTTATGTTATGAAATGTTGAAATGTAGACTTTAGTATTTTGATAATTTGCATTATATGGATTCAAAACATTTTTTACTTTTCTTCAAATATCTTTTAATTTCCAGTTTGGACATTATAATTTGTTTATATTGGCGAAAATTAGATAAAATTTGCAAAAATATAGTGAAAACTGTTATATATACGTTAATATTACAATTTTCAAAAATTCGTAGTTGAAATGCGGTCTTTAGTATTTTGATTATTTACTTCATATGGATTGAGAACATTTTTAACTTTTCTTTAAATTACTTTTAATTTTCAATAAGAACATGATAATTTGTTAACATTAATACACATCAGATAGTGGTACTTTAGTATTTTGATATTTTGCATTATATATTATATATTTACTTTTCTTCAAATAACTTCCAATTATCATTTTGAACATTATAATTTGTTTACATTAGTGTAAATTACACAAAATTTACTAAAATATAGTAAAAACTGTTATATACACTTTGATATTAAAATTTTACAAAATTCGTAGTTGATATGCGGTCTTAAGTATTTTGATAAATTGCATTCAAATCTTTTAAAATAACTTTTAATTTTTATTTCGGTCATTATAATTTGTTTACATTACTAAAAATAAGATAAAATTTATTAAAATCTAGTAGAAATTATTATTCATACTTGCATATCAAAATTTTGAATGTATTAAATGAGTAGTGATGACATCAAAGAGGCACTTCTATATTTGCAATGTGTTATAACTGTTATTAATTTTTTTTTAACATCTTTTTTTATTTAATTCATTGCCTTTACTTTTGAATTTAAGATCAAATTCAATTTACTTTTAAATTTAAGATCAAACTGAAAAGAGAAAAGAGATTATGTTTGAAGAGAGTTTTGTCCGAGTCTAGAGTACGCATTTTATTCCTGAATCTCTTGCCCCCTACACATATTAATTTGGTCTGTTTGGCTACTTTATATAATACATTATGTAGCATTTTCATTCTAATATTATGTAGTATATAGTAATAAATTTAAAAATATCGGCCACCAGTACGAGTTCGTTAGATAGATGGCTCTGTGACAGCACAAAGGGTCTAATTTCTGTAAGCCAGCAGATAGTACAACTTTTGGTATAATTAATAGAGAATCACATAATCCAACAGGATTACGGTACAGTAATTACAATATATGATTATCATTTTAAAAAATATAGCAAATAGCAAAAATTTAGTAAGTCAATTACCTTCGTCCAGGCAACCGCATACTACGATCATACAAAAATCAATTACCACCTATCACCATATTTATATTTTATAAGTATGACTAGATGAATTAGTTTGTGGCGCTTACAAATACAGACGATAATGAAATTCTGGAAAAACAAACAACTTGGCTGTGTAGTGTAGTTTGTAGCGCTTTTCCGCCGCGCCCGACTCTCTGTCGTCCAGATACGACTGTTGATCCCTCCAGTGTGTTTTGCAGGGGCCGCCGAGAAGAGCTCGAAGCACGGCGCGGAGGACAAGGCCAACAGCATCATCACCGCCATGAAGGAGAGGATGAAGCAGAGGGAGAGGGAGAAGCCGGAGATATTCGAATTGATCAGGTTAGTGGCGGTGGTTGTTGGCGGTTTTGGGTTGAGATTCGATTTGGGGATGGGGGGGGTGAATATTCAGGGCACTAATATGAGTAAGAATTTAATGAGATGTAACGTGACGCCATGGTAGTAATAGACGATATTAATTGACGGTTTACATATAAATGTATTTGTAGATCATTAAGATGTACAAACTTCACTATCAAATATTGTGAAGACAGTTTTCTAACATTTTTAAGCGCCAAATTGCTCAGTATATTATCATGAATGTGCAATTACGCTTGATTTCTGATTCATTAATTATTATCTATTTTCAACTTCCCGGAGAATAAGTATATATTTTCATCAAAAATAAGACTTGTTAATTTTATCGACGTTAGTTTTCTCGACGTTTCAAGCCATTCCGGATCGAATGTCCAAATTTAGAAATACTATGTGTGTTTGTGAAAATATTTTTGACCTTTGGGCGACTTTTTCTCAAAGCCGGCTGGGCCAATTTCAAACATTTTAAAGACCTGAATAGATTTTGGTAAAGATTTGCTGGCACAACTTGTCGCATTTAACTGTTGAAACAAAGTTTCGACGATTTTTACCTTCCTGAAGGAGAAGTTTATGTTTTCATCTAAAAATCCGATCTGCTAATTTTATGTTTTCTCGACGTTTCAAGCCATTCTGAATCGAATGAGACCAAATTTGGAAAATGTATGTGTATGTGTGCGTGTGTGTGTGTAACAGATTTTTTGCCGTAAATCGGCGTTTTTCAAAAAAATCGTCTGGACCGATTTCAAAAATTCAAAAGCCATTTGATGTATCTCGATGAGAACTATTGTTTATCAGTGCGACGATCGGCCGGGCCGTTTCTTTGTAAATTGCAGAAAGGTGAAAAATTTTTCGTCCACGTTTTAGCCCGCAATTCTGAATCGATTCTGAAAATTCAAAAACCATTCGATAGATATTGGTTGGGAATCGATTTGAATAGTTTTTCGTAAAGATTCGCTGGTACAAGTTCTTTTAATTAACTGTTGAAAAAAAAAATTCGTCGACTTTTTGATTTTTTTGCGATAGATATCATGATCTTCTATAACCTATTAAAATATTACGGATTACAAATAGTGGTTATAAAAATTTATCAAATTCTGAAAAAATTAATAGCGTTTTTTTTTAAGTTTTTTATAATCAGAAATTTTACCGACGTTTTCTCAAAAGCGATTGAGTCGATATCAAAAATTTGTGTCGAAAGTTCGTGTCTGTGCAATAAAATTTCAGATAATTTAAATGTGTTTGAGAAAATTCAATTGGAAATCGCAATGTCTAGATTTAAATGAAAGCGAAAATTTTGTTTTCGAAATAATCATTTGAAAATTTTATCTAAATATTTAAGTTTCAATTTCGGTTCATTAATTCAATTATTACACATTTCGGGAAGTTTATGCAATCTGCCTTAAGGCAAAATGCCACTTTCAACTAGTTATTTCTTTAAATCAGTTCTAGTTGTTTTTATGAATCTTATCATATTTTATTCCAATTGTATTAAAATTTGAAGCATTAGTAAAATTAAATGTAATAGAAAATAAATTAAATATAATGCGTATCTACAGCTGAATATTAACACTATGTTGTACCTATTGCACATATTGTCATATTTAAAATAAACAAACTTTTTTATAATATTTTATCATATTATTATATTCATTACTTTCATAATTATTTTGAATCAACAATATTATTCTGAAGCAAATTCTCTAATTATGAAATTGACTGGTAAACATGTTTATCAATACCCAAATGATACGACGTTCTGGCGTTATTTAATTGCTTATGTTGTTTTTGATATGAGATATAATATTTTTCTCTGTATAAATAGATTTATATAAATAATTAAATATGATCAAAATGAGACAGAACGGTAATTATATTGCAAATATTATTTCATAGAAAACATATTTTTGCGTCCAAAACGATCTATTTATAATGATGATTAAATATAAACTTAGCCAATGCTCCACGCACACGAAATATATACCTACGCAAATATTGTTTTTGTGAAATCTATAATTTTAATATAATTGATAATAAAACATACATTTTTGTGTCGATTAGCTCCAAAATAAATAACGTTGAACATATTCAGAAATTATAACCCGCTTCTGGTATATATTAAAATTTGTTAGTAAAATTGTAATCGTTCAATATTGAGTTAAGAAAATATATAAGGAAAACTGTTTTTTGTTAAATTAATTTTTGATGAATGTGGTGTAAAATATATTTCCAGAGCCTGGTGATAGTAAGTAAAAAAATAGCGTTGTCAATTGAAATTTAATGCTTTCGTGGCTCATAAATTCAGATGCATTTTTGTCACTTTTGTTACTAGAGCAGATATAAATGGATGCAACTTGATAAATAATGATGGTAATTCAATATTTTAAGTTTCTCTGTGTATGATCATAACAAAAACTGCTAAAGAAAAATAATAGGGAGCTGTAGACACAAGTGGGCCACGTTTTTAATTCTGGTTGTAAAATGGTTAAAAATGAAATAATTATGTTATTTTTCAACTTTCCGAAGGAGAAATTTATGTTTTCATCAAAAAATCCGATTCGCAAATTTTATGTTTTCTCGACGTTTCAAGCCATTCCGAATCGAATGAGACCAAAATTGGAAAAAGTATGTGTGTCTGTGTGTATGTGTGTGTGTATGTGTATCTGAACTGATTTTTTGCCGTGAATCGTCGTTTTCTCAAAAACGGCTAAACCGATTTTAAACATTTTAAAGCCATTCGATGTATTTCGACGAGGACTAGCGTTTATCAATTTTACGCGACGATCAGCAGAGCCGTTTCTTTGTAATTTAGAACAAAGTGTTAAGCTTTTCGTCGACATTTAAGCTAATACTACCAAATCGATTTCAAAAAATCCAATACTGTTCGAAAGATATCAGTTGGGAATGATACTGATTAGTTTTAGGTGAAAATCTACTGAGCCGTTTTCTTGTAATTAACCGTTTGGAAAAAAAATTGAGTCGATTTTTATGGAACTTTTTTTGGCGCTATATATCATGGTCTTATAGAATTTACTAAAATATTACGGCCTTACGACTAATAGTTTAATTTTAAAAATTCATCAAAGTTTGAGAAAATGAGTAGTTTTTTTGACGTTTGTTAAAATTAAAATTAGACGATTTACTTGGTATAACGATCGAGTACTTGGTCTTAATGAACATACTAAACAAAGTCCTACAAAAAAGTGGCTCAATTATAAAAATTATTGATTTTTGAAAATCAGTTGACGTGTTTGATTTTCAATTATGTGTAATAAATCCACTTTGATTACTTTTAGCTACTCATAAATTAATTTATCTATCATGGATTAAGTCGATCATATTACACAAATCGGGAAGTTCATGTAACTTGTTTAAATTGTCATAATACTAGTTATTTGCCTTATGTGTAATACTTTCATATATTTTAACATAAATCATTTTATTACTTAAAACTTTTAACCTAGTTTTAATAGAAAATATACAACCACATAAAATGTTATCAAATGATTCATAGAGGCGTTATCGCGTTTACACAAACTATGGCAATTCTTACTCATATTAATGCGCTACATATTTGAAAATAAATATGCTTCTACATGTATCTATTATATATCTACATATATCTAGAAATTATTGGTGCATGAAATTTGAAATTTATCTACCGATTATGTATATGAGCCATAACCTAATGTATTACCAGGGAGGTTTTCACGGTCGAAGATAAGAGTCATGCAGGTCACATGAAGGCGGTCAAGCAGTCCGTCTTAGACGGAACCTCTAAATGGTCGGCCAAAATAGCCATCACAGGTTTGTCCTACTAATTCATCAAAACTCGAAAAAACACGAAATTTTTATTATGTTTGACAGGGAAACTTCGTTTACTCAAGCGCCGACGCAACTGAGATGTGTAGTGATTATTTTGTTATGTGGGGATTATTTGACTTATAAATACTCATTTAATATATATCACCTTTTTTATTATAATATTAGTGAAATATTAGTTGATTAAGTATCTATGGGTCAAATAGTCTTTTATATTATATTGATATGTATTTATATTTTTTGGGTATCTGTATTTTTATAAAGCCGGACGGAGAATCAAGTATGTATACAACATTGAGCTTTTGGCTTTCGAAAAGGACATTTAAGTAATAAAATGCATCGGTTTTGATGTTTTTCTTAAATTTGCATGCAATTTTAGTTAAATGCATCAGTTTTAATTTTTTGCTTAAATCATCATGTAATTTCATCTAAATAATTATTTAGTTTCTATATAATTATTCAAATCAATTATTTATCATTAGTAAATTCTTATGCACTAAATTTGCTTATAAACTAGAATCTATTAGCCTAATCATGGTTTTATATGTAGAATTTTTTATTTACAATTTTTTGATTACAAATATTCTTTATCATCGTATGTATTGATATTTCTTTAACCCTTTCTACTCGGATTGCGCCGCTCCGGCTGCAAAATTCGTATAAATCTTGAAATTAGCGAGTGGAAAGGGTAAAAATTATGTAGAAAACTAAAATTTTATCGGCACTGCTCAAATTTAACAAATCTATGACAAGGACGCGATTATAGTCATCTAACTAGCGGGCGATTTAATATAGTTCCTGAATAATTTTTTTTTAAACTTTATAAGTTACGACGTAACATAAGTATTACCTAACTGTTAGGTAATTCTCATAAATAGGATTTATTTTGCACATCAATTTGATTTTGTTTTAAAAATGAATATATAAATAAAGGATCCGTTTAAAATTATCAAAAAGAAATCTTAGATTTTCTAAACAACTGACAAAGTAATATTTGATTATTTATTATATTGTATTAGCTCTCCGCTTGCGTTAAAATTTTATTATAGTATATAATATTTTTAAATTATTAAATTCATTATATACAGTAATTTATTCCAAGCAATGTGTAAATTATTTTTTTCTTTGAGAATATTGTTATTATATGAATGGACTCATTTATTTAGCTGAAAGTGCTTCCCGAAAATTCAATTTGCTCAAAGCATTCAATACAGAAAATTGAGAGCTTCCTATATCAATGTATGTTATTCCGATTTTGTAATTGTAAATAGGAACTATCTAGTAATATACATAAATATATATATATATATATATATATATATATATATATATATATATTAAATTACCCTATTAAAATATTAATTTATTGTACAATAAGCATGTTTAAGAAAAATATGATGTTTTTGGAACTATTGTGTGTTCCAAGTCTTAAATTACGAGCGCTAATTTAAAATTCTTCTCATTTCTAAATTACCAATTTACACTAAATGCTTTAGAAATTCTCTGTAAAGTTACATTTATTGTGATATTTGAAAAAAATGCAGATCTCAAAGAAATGCTTTCTGAAGTCATTCTCGAATTGGTACATTACAATAAAACTGTATATTTTTTTGACAATTACTTAAAATTCCAGATGAAAATGATTTTTTATATATCATTATCATTGTCATATCAATGTAAATTTTAGGTTTCTAATTTTTTACTCGACATTGTTCAATAATAAAATTATCAAGTATTTTACCATTTCACAATACTGAATTTTGATGAAACTTGCCTACACACTTTAGTACATTTTTTTAAATAAGATTTTCTCAAAGTCTTTAATTTTAAAAATTTGAATTTTATAATTCAACAAAAAGGCCTACTTTTTGAAATCTTGAGGCAGTTGTTATATTAGTTTTTAATATGGTCTTAGAAATGTTGCTCACGATATCGGCTATAAAGTTGAAATGAACAAAATAAAAATTAAGCACAATAAGCGAAAAATTGTTAATAAAAGTTAAGTACAGTAAGCGGAAAATTGTTACAATTTTACCAAAGCTTTAAGTTGCATTTAAAAGCTCATAAATTCAAGCAACGTAAGATATTTCTTTTCTAAATATTTTGAAGGCTGTTAATTCAAGATACTATCATCTGGTTTCTTGAAGATAAGTTCTGGGACACCCTGTATATATATATATATATATATATATATATATATATATATATAAGTAGAAAATTCATGTTTATATTATATGCACTGCATAAATTGAATATCTCGGGCGGTTCTTCTACAATATTCATATATATTCGCAAAAGCAGTAATTTCCAGCAGAAAGTGCAGTATCTACATGTATTAAAATTTGCATACTCTTAGCTAATAATAATCTGTTTCAGTAAAATGGTATTATATATACATGCTAATACAAGAACAATGCGATACTTTAATAGCATATTCTCGCAAGATAAATTATGACTCTCTGTTAATTAAGATTTGAATATTATTTATTCAGTCTAATGGCGTTACATTATGAGGAAGAAAGCTTTTATGTAAAGGATTATTTTTTGTTGTGTTTTTTTAATAATTTCATAAAGCTTCATATAAAATGTAACTACGTTATGTAGTTTTTACATAGAGTATGTAGGAAGAGTTTTGCTCTGTTCAAAAAGATAAAATTAATTAATAAAATAATTAACAAATCGAATAATCAAATGTGTAATTTGAGTGTTCAAATCAATTTTTTCATAGAAGATTACTTCTTTTCTCGATCAAGTATTTTAATTTAGATTTTTTCCCAAATCGACCTTTCAGGTACGAAAGTTGTGCAAAATGTGAATTGCACTTGAAAAGGCTTTGAAGTCAAGTTAATTATATTTTTTTAATTCAATTACCTCCTACGTTGTACTCGAACTCCTTGAAAATACAAGCAATACGAAAGTTTTCTCAGAGAGCGCATTAAATTCAAAATAAAATCACATTTTGTAGAGAAATGCAATATCGATTTTAATCAACTTCTATTTTTTATATATTTTTTAAGGCAGCGATTGCAGTTTTGCTGCAATCTATTGAAAATGTAATCAAAGGAGAATTAGGGATTTTTATTTTATATTTTATTTAATGACAAATTGGAAAAGACTTTATGCAAATCAGTGGGATGGTGTGATATTTTAAAAACATAGTTGAAATGAGTTGAATTATTTCATACATAATTAAAACAATCACTGGGTTCTAATATAAAAAACGTATTTGACGTTTTTTGATTTTTTGCTTTTTCAATTTTGATAGGAAAACCATTGGGTTGCCCTCTGAAAAACCACATACTTAGGGAGTTTATAAAATCCATAGTTCTGATTGCTATTCCTAAACAATGAAACAATATCATAAACTATTAATTTAAAAAATAATTTCGAATCGAAGCAAATCAAAGAAAAGCTAGTTATTTTATTTTCATGATATTTATTCGTTCTTTTATAGCTTCTCAAAAGAAAAGTTCGTTTTCGCCAGAAAAACCAACTTGATAATTTCATGTTTTCTCATAGTTTCAATAAATTTGTAATCGTTTAGAACAATGTTGAAAAAAGTATATAATGTCTCTGAAACGGCTGAACGGATTTCAAAAATTTTAAAAACTTTAGATGAAACTTGGTAAGGGCTATAGTAGGTTAGTTTTGCAAGACGATTGATCGACGGTTGATCGTCAAAAATCCTGAACCGATTTTGCAAAATTTAAAAATAGTTCTAAAGATATTATTTGCAAATCCTGCTAACTGCTTTTGACACAGATCAGTCGGGCCGTTTCTTCGTAATTATTTCATTGAAACTGTGATTTGATGATGTGAGTGTTTTCTAAAATCATACTAACGATTAAGATATTATGTTAGTAATAAGCCAACAGTTCGAGTCAATTGAAATAGATGGCTCTGTGTATTGATGAAGAATATAGAATACATTAGTATCAGTAAAAGAAATTAAGTTGTTGTACGACTTTCTGGAGTTATTAATAGATTACCTATATCATTCCTAACTATTAACTGAGTGACTATTATTATTTTGTAAAATTCCTTTAAAATTAAAATAAGACTTCAAACCTGTTTGCCCCCTGTTTGTCTCAATTCACTCCGCCTATGTATGGGTACAAAAGACTAGGTCAGAAATGTTTGAAAAACAGCAAAAAAAAACATTTTTACAATGATGAATTACCTCGGAATTTTACTGAACCTAGTCAGATAAGTATTTGCTTGGTATGTGTTATTTGTTGCGATATTGGATTGGTTTTCTCAATACAATTGCTCAAAGTCAAATTAGACCTTTGTGCCCCGCGCTACCCTATGAACCTTTCTTACATACCAAAATAATCTGGTGTGGTGAATTATAATATCAGAATAATAGCCTATAATAATTCTGTTTCCGTTTCTATTAACCAGCTCTTAGTTTATTCCTGTTGCTTTCGAGATGTATGGTCTTGTGAAATGGTCTTTATGATAGTATTCAACGAGGCGTAAACGCGTTATTTCATCTGCAGATATTGCTTTCTGTCTGAATTTGCTTTTGCACAAATTCTAACGACTTAGAATTTACAGTCTGTGGGCTACGTTTAATGTAGTTTCATAGACCGACCGACCTACCGATTGGGAAAGGTCTCTTTGATACGCTTCAATAATCGTATCGGCCTAGATTATAACATTTAACTTGAAAGATATATATATATATATATATATATATATATACTATCTGGCCCACTAAACGAGGCAGCAAACTCAATTTTCGAACGATTTACCCATTGCAACGCATGCCTCATACAAATATTCGTGCGACATTATTATAAGTGCCAGTCTAATCTGAAATTGATTTCATTTCAATTGTATTAGTACATTTGTATACTCGAGGTTTTGATATATTATTACTGCGTTTTTCATTTATTTATCAATTTTTGAATAATGAAGCAAAATTTGAAAATTTCTTTCAAGTGTGATTTCAAAAACTCTGTGCAAAAATTTCACAGCTT